AAGAAAAGTGTGCGGGCATCTGATGCCCTGGGTTGCGCTCGAAAAAGCGACGGCTGGCCTCCATCAGCCACGCTCAGGTGATGTGTTGCGACATGCTGCAACCCTAAACCCTAAACCCTAAACCCTAAACCCTAAACCAGCCCCAAAAAAGCCCCCAAAGAGACCTCTCACATCCCTGGAGCCCTAAACCCTAAGAGCCCTCAAGCATGAAACCCCAAAAAACCCGCCGAAACCTCCCCCAAAGCCCCTGAAACCCTGAGCCCCCGAACTTCAGAACCGCCTGCAACCCATAATCCTAAACGTCCTCAAACCCCTAAACTTAGGATGTTCCTCCTTCTACTACCAGTCATTATTCTAGGGATTCCAGTACACCCCCCCCCCCCCCTAGTAAAATCCCTACGGACTGTTAGTGTGAGGGGGAACATCTCAATCCAAAACCCTAAGCCTTAACCCCTGAAGCAGCTCTAGCCCCAAGCCCCCCCCCCCCGCCCGGGCAACAAACCCTAAAACCTAAAACCCTCAGAGCCTTAAGCCCGTAAGACCCTTAACAACCCTACACCCTTGAAACCCTGAACCTAATGAGACCAAAAAAGAACAGACCGCCAAAGACCAAAAAAATTGAGGGCATCCTTTCAACCCACAAAGAAACTCGAACTGAAACGTTCAAGGACGAAGTGTAAACAAAAACAACGAACTCTGGAAAAGCAAACAACTCTGGGAAAAAAAACCTACAACAACATCTTTGAGAAACAAGACTTTCAAAGCCGAAGAACCTCCGAAAAAAAATCTGCCCTGCCAACGACAGCTTGGGCGCCAAGGCTGCGGAGGCAACCGCCGTGGCTGCGACGGCCTTCAGGGCTTCGGGGGGAAGGGGAAGTTTTGGGGGTTTAGGGCTTCGGGTTTCGGGTTTCGGGTTTAGAGTTTAGGGTTTAGGGTTTAGAAAGAATGGCGGGGGATTTAGACCATCTTGCTCATCAGTCCCATTTCGCGAATCGCGCGGTGATGGTTCGCAGGTGCTTGCTGTAAGGTTTTTGTCTTAGCAAAACGCGTGGCCGACCATTGCAAATGGTATCAACAAATGAAAGAAGCACGCCACGCATCATTTGGTCAATGACTCATGATACGACACTGTCTGAATCCCTGTTCCCCTAGGAAGAAAACAGGATCCCTTTTTTCTTATACATAAGAAAGCCCATAACCCAAAAAGTAAAAAGGATCCCTAACACTGATCTAGCTGTTGTTTTCAGGGGTGGTCCATCAAGATAGTCCAGCTTTAGCCTTCGATTCGAATGAAGAAAACAGGGGTTTAGGGTTTAGGGTTGAGGGTCTAGGGTTTAGGGTTTAGGGTATAGGGTTTAGGGTTTAGGGTTTAGGGTTTAGGTTCTAGGGTTCAGGGTTTAGGGCTTAGGGTTTAGGGTTTAGGGTTCAGGGTTTAGGGTTTAGGGCTTAGGGCTTAGGGTTTAGGGTTTACAAAGTGAAGCACTTCAGACTCAGGGGGGCGATGCTCTGCCAATGTTGTACAAAAGATCACGGTCACGCAAATCCATAGCCGGAATCGCCATGGCATATTTCGAAGAGCAATGCACAAGCAGCAACACTCGAAGACGACCAAAGAAGTAAGAAGTCCATACCGCTGGTTGGTCCTCATGTTGCAATCGGTGCCTTAACCGTCGCGCAGGGTTTTTTTCTTTTTTACTAGGGGTTTAGGGTTTAGGATTCAGGGGTTTGGGGGGCTTTAGGGGGGATTTTTGGAGGATTTTAGGGGGGTTTAGCGTTTCGGGTTTTTGGGGTTCGGGTTTAGGGAGTAGAGCCTTGAGGGTTCAGGGTTTGGGGCGTATCAAGCACTCAAAGCTCGCACCAGAGGGCAGGCCCCCTAAACCCTAAACCCTAAACCCTGAACCCTAAACCCTAAACCCTAAACCATAAACCCTAAATCCCCCCTTGAGGAGAAGCCCTTCATTCCGGGCAGCCAAGCCCTGGCCACGTGCCTGGCTGTGTCCGGTGGTCTTTTCAGCCACCTCGCGTCGGCTTGCTTTGGACTAGGGTTGAGGGTTTAGGGTTTCGGGTTTCGGGTTTAGGGTTTAGGGTTTAGGGGTTAGGGTTTAGGGTCTGGGGTTCAATTTAGGGGCCTGCGTTTTTGTAGAGGGTCCTCTTGTAGTGACGGGGGCCTCTGAGGTTCATGGGCAGTTATGAAGTAGGTTTAGGGTTTAGGGTTTAGGGTTTAGGGTTTCGGGTTTGGGGTTTGGGGTTTCGGGTTTAGGGTTTAGGGTTTAGGGTTTAGGGTTTAGGGTTGAAGCCAGTCATCGCAAAAGTCACCCTACCCATACGCCCAGCTATCGCAATACTACCTGCACCTGCAAGTACATCATATGGTCAGCTCTCTGAATTAGGGTCCCTTTCTGGGCACACTGAAAAAAGAGGGGCCTCCTTCTCTGAGTCTGAGAACCTTTCTGAAGGCCCTTGGGATTGCCCAGGGACGCCCTTTAATAACCCAATAAAC